CGAGTCGCCAGAGGAGGCGACGTGGGGCGTCTAAAGGTAATCCCGTTGACACATCCGAGATTATTATCTCCATATTGAAACTAATAAGGCGTATCAATTTTCTTGAAGTGCATCGACATGGATTTACCTTCTTCGGGAAAGAAATACAGTCGTCTAAACTATCTCATTGTACTGGTCAATGTGACAAAATAACGTTCCGATCAGGGAGGTTTTCAAGTTGGTATTTGCAATTGGACTTAAGAGTCATGCACCGAAATAAAGCTGTGATTGAAAACGTTTTGTCCCACAATTTTCACGCGGGCAGGGCCAGCAAGGCTAGCTCACTTGCCTATAAATTGGCTGGTATTCTGGCTACTCTCAAACAACAACCAGCAATTGCTTACGCACCAATCGAGCTTAATTAGCTATGTTTTGCAGCATCATAGTGTGGCAATTCCTTCCAACTATGGCCAAGGCAACCAAATGCCTTTGGCAGACCTCGTCGCCGCAGACAACAGTGCGCTGCTCCTCGTCATCGACTCCGCCGGCTCGCCAGTTGGCGAACTACACTCCCAGTTCCTGGGATTACGACTGCCGCCTGCTTTCGCTCGACGATATCAGCCATGACACCCATGATCAGGTGATTGGCGTCTCATAAAATAATACAGCACAAGTAGATCCCAGTATATATCAGCTGATGAAAATAGTTATGTTAACTAGTTAATACGTGCACGCTTGGATCAGTTACGAGCTCGGAGCTTCGATAAATTGAAGGCCGGGGTGAGGGAGCGGCTGATGGTGGCGAGCCGAGGCCACGACCAACCTGCAAAGCTCAGACTCGTCGACACACTGCAACGGCTCGGCATCGCCTACCACTTCGACGACGAGATCTCCAACATCCTCACCACTATCCATAGTGCAAAACCTCATCAGTGGAGCTGTGATGATGATGATGGTGATGATGTTGCTTCCGCGGCCTTGAGGTTCAGGTTGCTCAGGGAGAGTGGCTTCCCAGTCCTCTTCCCTGCAGGTAGTACCTACCTAGATAAATATGGAACATAAATACACCCCATACAAGATGTAGAAAAATAAACTGGAACTAAGGCCAACATTTTGGAAACTAAAACGCTGTGCAGCTGCACGCACCACCTCCGATTTAGCGTAGGTCCACGTAGATTCAATCTGAATCGAGCTAGTAATCATGGTGTGCCAGTGCCACGTATGTGCTGCCATACATGGTGCTACACAGGTACCCCTGGATGTCGAGAAAATATAGTACCCATTAGGTGCACTACTGCACTAGACGGATAAAAAACATGATATTTTAATTATAGCATAAAGGTAATGTACATGTACCATGTCACAAAATTGCATCCAAACTCTATTCACAACTTCATATAAAATAAAAGAAACATATTCTGAATAGTACCAAATTCAAATTTGAAAGTAATATAAATAACATCGTGAGATGGTACTATTCACAAGCAGATTTGACATTTTTGTTTTCTGAGTTGAGTGTCAAATTTGGATCTTAAAATTGTGGCATGCTATATGTATGTTGAAGAAAGTTGCTATTTTTGTCAAAAATATATCAAGACTCTCTAAATGTTAAACTACAAGTCTAGTATATTAGTACATCTCAAGATGCTAGTTCATGCTACGTACCCCGATAGATGTTGGACAGTGCTATTGGGCCCGTTCCACTTACTAAGCAATCTGATTTCTGCTATCTGAGTCGTCTACATATATACTCGATCAATAAATTAAAGTCCAGACATGTGCAAAATGGTTTACTTGTACTTGGGCTTCGGCATGTTGTATTTTTTTTGTACCTAACTGATATTATTTCATGGTATCAATATATGTAGAATCTCTGAAAAATCTCAAACACATACTAGATGATGTGAAGGGGGTCCTCTCAGTCTATGAGGCTTCATACCTTGCATTTGGAGGCGAGGAAACATTAGACGAGGCAAAAGCATTTTCTGTAAGCGCTCTTAGAGAACTCTTGCCGTCCATGGATCCCCACTTACAACACAGTGTGGTTCATGCTTTGGACCTTCCATTGCACCGGAGGTCTCCTAGACTAGAAGCAAGATGGTTCATAGATCACTATGCCAGCGACATGAGCAATTCTGATCTGTTACTCCTTGGATTCGCAACGATGGACTTTAACCATGTGCAAAGTGTGCATCAGCAAGAACTTGTGAGACTCGTAAGGTAATTAAGCTTGAAGAAACCTACAATTAAATTAAACCTCACTAATTACTCCCCATAGTAGATGGATTGTGTGTGTCCTGTGATGCAGAGTCTAGGAGTTATATCTACATTTTATTGTCTAAAAGAACTTCTTGCATCTCATTGCATGTATAACTACTTAAAGTCCTTTAAGATAGTAAAATTGGCTTAATTGTAGGTGGAGGGAGGATATTGCCCTTGGTAAAAAAATTGGGGTTTGCGAGAGATCGTCTCATGGAGTGCTACCATTATGCAACTGGAATAATGTGGGAGCCAACCCTCGGAGCATGTCGGGAAGTTCTTGCTAAAGTCATTTATCTAGCAGTTCAATTGGATGATGTTTATGATGTGTATGGAACTCTTGATGAACTCATCTTGTTCACTAATGCCATTAGAAGGTAAATATATGTGGTTGTTCTTTTTTAAGCAAATTTATGCGGCTAATAAAAATGCAGAATTTAGCAAGATTAATCACTGAAATAATTTGCTTATAATTGTAGAAATAATCTTCTTATCATAGAGTAGCATGTGTATATATGACACGTTAGTTTCACCTTGAATGCAAAACAAAAAAAAAGTTTCATCTTGAATGGAGCTTTGAAATTATCTAAAAATTTCTCAAATAATATTGTCAGGTGGGAAGAAAGTCCCGATGAACGACTTCCTGAATACATGAAAGCACTCTACACTATTATGTACAACACATCATGTGAGGTGGCTGAAAATGTGCTAAAACAACATGGTTTTGATGCTCGTCATGTACTTCAAAAATTGGTATGTTCATATATACTTAAATTCTTCCTAATATGGTATAGATATGTTCACTAAAAGAACTGTAATAAATTCTACATAAATGGCAGTGGCATGATGTGACCGAGTCATACCTAGTGGAGGCAAAGTGGCACCATGGAAACCACAAACCAACACTTCAAGAGTACCTCGATAATGGATCAGTTACGTCCACTGGGCCACTGCTGCTAGAACAGTTCTTTCCCCTACTTGGCATGGAAGAAAAACACACCTCGGAATCTCCTAATAAAGTTGGAAGCTACACTAGATTAGTTCATTCCGTGTCAATAATAGTTTGACTTTGCAATGACTCTGCAACACATTCTATAAGGACAACTGATCAATTATTTTTGCAATTTTCATCACCAGATTTGAATCTTTCTGTAAAATCTCATGGCATTTATCTCCGCTTGTGTTGTGTGCATGACAGGCCGAGCTAGAGAGAGGGGATGTACCATCTTCCATAGCTATCCACATGTCGGAGAATAACTCTGGTGAGAAAGAGTCCCGCGATGCCATGGAAGACCTTATAATGGATGCTTGGAAGTCAATTAACATAGAGGCCTTCGAACATTATAAATTTTCTAGACATTTTGCCAAGAGTTGTGTGAATTTGGCCCGAATTTCGCATTGTGTTTACCAAGATGGGGATGGTTTTGGGGAACCAGATTATCAGAAGAAAAAGCAAATCAAAGAATTGTTCTTAGAGCCTATCAACAGTGAGAAATAATAAACAATCAAAGCCCTAAAGAGTGTTTATTTATTAATAACTTTGATTGTATAGTACTATAGTAGATATGATATGTTTAAGAATAACATGGGATGTAATCGTTCTATGTTTCTTGGTGGTTGGGAAATTTATGGGCTGAATATGAAGTGTTAATGTTTCTAGTTCTTCTTGTCTTTTCATATATTCACATGGAACAGGTTCTTGCAGTAATCTCAATTGCTCTTCAACTTCATCTGTAGATTTAGTAGTTCAACATAGGGATTTTCATTACTAATAACAATTGAAGAAACACATGATAGAAAGCATAGCTTACACTTAACTTGTCAGGAATCAATGGATTACTTGTAGTAAGTGATGGGGAACATTACATTGAGAACAAAAAAAATTCCTACAAAACACCCAAGATTTATTCTATGAAGATGCTAGAAACAAGAGGGGGAGGTGTCTACATACCCTTGTAGACCAAAAGTGTTAACGGTCTAGAGATCATGGTTGGCGTAGTCGTACTCCCTCGTGGTCCAATCCGATGCAAGCACCGCGCGAGCGGTGCCTCCAAGATGTGCACAAGTATGGCTCGGTGACGTCTCCGCCTTCTTGATCCAGCAAGCGAGGGTGGAGAGGTAGATGGGATCTAGGCCAGACGACGGCATGGTGGTGGTGGTGCCAGCTGAACACCGACAGAGTTTCGTCAAGCGCTACGCGGAGGAGGAGGAGGAGGAGTAACGGGATGGAGAGGCACCATTCGGTGAAAGGGTTGTTGCCCTTGCACCTCCCCACCTTTATATAAGTCTGGGGGCCTGTTGTCTTGCCCTCCAAGCCCCTAGGGTCATTGGTCAAAGGGGGAGGAAGGAAATCACTCCTTTCCTTCCCCACATGGCTATCCCCATATGATCCTATTCCTTTTAGGGGGGATCTTGGTTCGCCTAGATCAGGGGTGTGGGGCCTTGCCCCACTAGCCACATCCACGTTGGCCCCCCATGCATGTAGGTGGTCCCACTCTGGAACCTTCTATAACCTTCCCAGTACAGTACCGAAAAATCTTGAACATTTTTCGGAATCCTGAATATGACTTTCCATATATAAATCTTTAACTCTGGACCATTCCGGAGCTCCTCGCAATGTCTCGGATCCCATCCGGGACTGCAAACAATATTCGGTCTTAACATTATTAATATCCCAATACTACCCTAGTGTTACCCAACATTAAGTGTGTGACCCTACGGGTTTGAGAATCATGCAGACATTACCGAGACACCTCTCCGATCAATAATCAATAGTAGGACTTGGATGCCCATATTGATTCCCACATATTCAATGAAGATCTTTATCGGTTTGAACCATGATGTCGGGGATTTAGTTAATCCCATATACAAATTCCTTTATCCGGTGATATGTTACTTGCCCGAGATTCGATCATCGGTATATTTATACCTAGTTCAATCTTGTTACCGCCAAGTCTGCTTACTCACTCCATAATACAAGATCACGTGACTAAACTCATTAGTTAGATGCTTTCAAGCTATTCATGATGTTGTATTGCCAAGAGGGCCTAGAGATATCTCTCTGTCATACGAAGGGACAAATCCCAGTCTCGATTCATGCAACCCAACAAATACTTTCTGAGATACCTGAAGAGAACCTTTATGATCACTCAATTATGAAGTGACGTTTGATAGTTCAATATTTGACAAATATATGGTGTATGTAGGATACATGAAGACACATGGGATATGTACCCATGGACAACAGTGAAGGCGTTCCAGAAGCTTCTATCTTAAGGTGCATTGGATAGGAAGTATGGAGTATAAGTTATAGCATGCTAAGGAATAAAAAACATCTACGCTTCAATACAGCCCCCCCCCCCCCAAAAAAATTAATAATTAATTAAGGGTGGGATTGAAACATACCTTAAGATGAAAGGGCCTAATGGTAAATTAAAAGTTTAAACCACATGACAATGAAAACCTAATCATTAATCTTAAAGAGCGAACTAGCTCAAAAGCACGGGGGTAGCCTTGAAAACATAGGATGATTATGGTCTCTATTCTTGATACACCATCTTCTATCCTGTCGTCCGCGGTGATTGTCTATCCGGTCGTCCACAAAGCATTAGTCTATGGATTGGACTATTAGAATGATGGATATGTATTAGAGAGAATGAAATCAGGTGATAATCTAAATTAGCCGTTGATCTCAAAGAAATAGATTAATTAGTTTATAAGCTATGAAAATCTAGACACTAATTATGGTGCTTCAATGGATTCAATCAGTGATGCCCTTCTTTCATTGGCTATGTCGCGGCGGCGGGAGCTCCAGATTAGATTGGTCAGGCTCCAACGTATAGGAGCGTATAGATAGGGCCTATTTAATTTTCTTATAATTAATAATTAGACGAAAATACCTTTATAAGTTCTTTTAGGGGTGTACTAAAGCAAAACCCAAATTTCAAATAAGCAGGGAGATCTCTTTCCTTCATCAGATACTGTATTAATTGGTTTCTGGCGCTCCGTTTCAGTTTGACTTGGACACTAAGACAAGGCACATATAAAAGACCTAGAGGTCAATGCAAGAACCAACTTGTGCAACGTCTACAATGGTACTACCGCTAGCAAGAGGTTGTGCCAGATAGATAGAAGGATTTTAGTTGTTTAGGGGCTCAGCCTGGTAGCCCCAAAATATTCATGTAATAATTCTTGAGATAAAAGAAAGAATGAAAAAGTCATGAAGTGGGATTATTACCTACCTCGGGGAACTGAACTTGGGTAAATCTTGAGTAATCGTCCACTTCGTCTTTTTTACTTGTTGGGGTCCATGTATTGCCTCTGCTTCCACATGTTCGAGCATGTACTGTCGTGTAAGCAGTCTTTGAATTTCGCATAGACGACTTGCACCCACTGTGGGGTGGTGTGCCAGTCTTGCTTCAGCAATCTCATCACCAATATCTTCATCAAGACTCAAGGTGGATATCACGCCATTCATGGTCACCTAATAAACTCCCAATGGTTGTGTGTGTATGGCACATGGCCATATAGATGCACAATTCAACCATTTTTATACAACTCATATATGTTTTTTAGGCACCAGGTATAACACATTCATGTAAATACTCAATACACATTTACATAGATTTTCAATCACATGTAGCATATTCACATGTATAAGATCACATCTTAAAACATTTACATTCACATTATCAAGTCAAAATTTCACGACATGTATGAAAAAAATCATAGACATGGTCTAAAATCTAACTTAGTAGCCAACATCTAACAAAGTTCTAAATATAAAAGGTTGTCCTATGTAATGAAAATTCAACCACTTTTTAATTTCTTGGTTGTTTCTATGTATGTTTTTAGTAGACTGAGTCTATAGCACTCCCGCCTCTTGTTTTTTTGACAACCAAAGGGAGGGAAACATACCATGGGCGTGCAGTATGCTAGCCCGCCAGAGCCAGTGTGTCTTACCTATATGCTTGTTAAAAAGACAAATGAGCAATAATATATACATTAATATAAAACAAATAATTAAAGCTAATGATTATACCTTTGCATCGTATAGATTGTTGGTTAATAGTGTATGACAAAAGTCATTGGTCCTTATTTTGACCAGTAAGATTGAAAGGCCATTGATGCTCTATTTTCTGCATGGTGCTACTAAAATTTAAGTCCCATATTGCACATAGATTAAGATAACCAATATGACCAATCAATATAACATGCGGACGTACAAACATAACCTTGAAATTTGTGAAAATCGTGCTTGAGGTTGAGAAAGCATATACCAAAGCTATTCATACTAATTTGACTCAATCTGATCTTTTGATGTTTTCCGATATTATTGTATAGTGCCACTAAAATCCAACACCATCTCCTCCATGGCATTTTACTAGCACTACACAAAACACTCTTCCAAAAAATGTATTTTCTATAGTACACCAATAGGTTACAGTAGCAAAAAGGATCTTGGTCGCCCTGTTTGCACAATATTGAAAACAATCATCTATGGAAAAATTATGAAGAAAAACAAAATAACATGTGGGCATCAATGTTAGCCAAGAAAAAACAAGTTTAGGTTGTAGGGTTCAGGGTTTCGTTTTAAATAGAATTTCTGTATCTGCTTAAGTTATTGTGAGAGAAGACCAAGAGTAGTACCTATCCACATCAGATGGGAGGGAATAAGGGAAAAGAGGAAGAATTTTCTCGATATATTCTGTGCTCCTTGTCTATGACTCTTGCACAACACAAACACATGATACATATCAGTAGAAGTTAGTATGTCACAAACTTTCTAGATAGTAATGATGATGAATCAAGGAAATTTGTAATGCCAACTAAAATCATTATGATCCAATACTCAAGTATCTCCTAAGCAAAGCAAGATGCTGGTGACATAGCAAATTAAGATAGGATCAACACTGAAAAATTAATACACCAATATGCTAGTGATGTAGCATCATGAATCATGAGGAATGTGGGAAATTGATAAATTCACAAAAGTTGCATTTAGCATCAAAAAAGATATACAACATAAGCAATATGGCATCCCACATAGCAGAGTAGTCATTTGAACTGATGGAACATCACAAGCAAGGCTACATAGGCCCTCGGCTCAACGACCGTATCACAACACACATGATCGTCCACAACACAACGGCCATCGCTCACAAATCACAAGGAGGCAACGAGGGCAAAGGGCCATACTTACCAAACCAATGCCAGGAAAGAACGCCATCATCGGCTCAGTTAGCGCATTGTGGCGGGGGAAGGAGTTGACGTGCCGAACCGAGTAACCTAAGTGGGTCTAGCACCATGCGGGATGGTATGGGAGAACTGCTAGGGTGCCCGTAAGGGAGTAGCCAGAAATTCGAATTCGCAGTTCCCCAATATGGACTCGTATGAACCACATCAAATCCTTATGATCCGAAAGAATTCCTCTTGAAACATGCTTTTGTTTCGCTTTATATATAAAGCAACATTATAAAATACGCGGTAACTATACAATATGGTGGGGAGGCCCCTCACAACTCCTACCTCGGGTTCTAAGAGTGCTAACCTCAGCTTGTCCGCTAGCTAGCTGTGCATATCAGTAGTCACAGTCATGTCCTTCAGACGAGTCATGATTGAGATTGCCGCCGGACAGTGAAGATATAAGTCAAGGCAACGACTATTGTACGTGAATGGCGTGCAATCGCTGTGAGTTGAATAGTCGCCGAGAGGACGCGTGTACGTACGTGCGAGGTTGTCACGTCCACATAATAATGGAACTAATGGAAAGGGCCGAGTTAATTGTGTATCATGTGCTAGCTAGCTGTGGCTCTCGTCGCGTGTGTGCAAGAGAACGAGTAAACGACGATCCATGCAAGGCTAGCCGACAACGGAACGTTCGTTGTTTGTCTCACACGGATCCATGCATGTGAGCCTCAAGTCTAGCACGAACCACTTGTTTATCACATTCGCTAAATATCAAGCAACTGAAATTTTTATGTTGGTTCAGCCGATTATATTTTACCGCATATAGGAGAGGCAGCGCCCAAGGCCGAGAGGCGGACGCCGAACATGTCATCTTAACCAGGCCTAGTCACGTCGGCGATGATGCATCTAGCCGTGGTATCACGTGTGGAGGCAAATCGGATGTTTGACGGGTTCGAGTGCGGGGTTGCGAGGAGGTTGTGGGTGGCAGCATTGTGAGGGGTATAGGGGTGCCTCTGTGTCTTGCTTATAGTGAGACGTAGGGAAGTCTTGTGTGTGGGGAGCGCCAGATGGGCCGGCCCGGGCATGCTGGAGGGCACGGCCTCATTTCTTTGTTTTTTCCATTTTTTTTTGTTTCATTTTTTCTTTCTTTTTTACTTTTGTATATACTTTTGAATATTATAAATAAATATAATACAAAAAATGCATAAAGCATTTGAAAAAAAATGTTAATCAAGCATTTTAAAAAGGTTAACTCTATATAGAGAAATGTTTATCATGTATAAGAAAAATGTATACAGAAAATATTAAACGTGTGTGAAAAAGTTGATCACATATTTAAAAATACGTACCAAGCATTTAAAATACATTAAGCAAGTATTTGAATAATGTTAATCAAGCATTTGAAAAATTTCAAATTTGTATAGAAACAATGTTGACCATGTATTAAAAAAAGTTAATTTTGTGTTGTATTAAAAAAATGCTAAACTAGTATTTGAAATGTTAATCAAGCATTTGAAAATGTTAAATTTATATAAAAAATGTTGATCATGTACTGAAAATATATTAATCTTGCATTTGATAAAATGTTAATCAAGAATTTGAAGAATGTTAAATGTGTATAAAAAATGTTGAGCATGTATTAAAAAATGTTAATTCTGTCTTTGAAAAATGTTTAAATGTGTATATAATTTTTTAACCATGTATTAAAAAAATGTAAACCTTGTATGTGAAGAATGTTAATTAAGAAATTGAATTTTTTTTTTAAATATGTATAGAAACAAATGTTGACCATGTATTCAAAAAATGTTCAACTTGTATTTGAAAAATATTAAATGTGTATTACAAAAATGTTTCTAACGTATACGAAAAATGTAGAATGAAAATCAAAAGAACAAAGAAAAGTAAAAAAACCATGAAAGACGAAAAGAACAAAAGAAACCAAAGAAAAAATAAACAAAAAAGAAAGAATGGAAAAACATGAAAACCAAGAAATAGAAAAAAAAACTAGAAAACAAGGAAAATCAGAAAGAAAGAAAATTGATAAAAAACATGAAAGAAACAAACAAAAGAAAACAAAAACAAAAATGATATATAATGATAAAAAATAATAGCTAGAAGAAATAATTAAACCAAACAAAAAACAAAATAAAATGAAAAATAGAATTTGTTTTGGAGAAAACCTATAGCGACCGAACCTGCAGCGCGCGAGCGGCAGCAGCGAACCTACACCGATGGGCCAGCCCATAGGCAAGTACCTTCGGCGAGAGGAGCTTCCACGCTCGCTATTGTCTCACTATAAGCGAGACATAGCTCTCGCGGCGGTATAGAGGGATGGTTGCAGGAGACAACTCAGGCAAGGTAGGGCTGCTAGGCTTGCGGGGTGCCACCGCTGATTACAAGAGTAGGCGATTGGACCAGTGGGATGAGGGAGGGAGGAAGAATTGTTCACGTTGGCAATTTGAAGAGGAACAAATAATTCTTCAGGAAGTTGAAGATGGAGCACACCGGTCTGTTGGATTTTAGTTCCAACCATGTTTTTTTATGCGGTCCCTTTATGTATTTTCCACCGTTATTTCAATTCCACCATGGTTTGGTAAAATGAGTATTAGCAGGTTCTTAGTGATTTATATGGAATTTTGCTAGAAAAACAGAAATTCTGATTTTAGCCATGGCAAACATACGCTTTTCATAATGATTCATATTGGCGCGAGGATGGCAAAATTAATTTGCAAAAACGGATGTATTCTAGCGAAAAATGAAATCCGGAGGACTTGTCATGATCATCAACTAAACTTGTCATCCTCAACGAACACAAATTTCCATGAAAAACGTTAAATTTTTTTCGTGCCTAAAAATCTAAAGTTCGTTGGATATCTGGGTAAAAAAAATAGCCTCCACAAGAAATGTTGGTACAGATACTCTCATCAAAAATATCTGGCTGAAAAGAAATAGCACTGGCGGCAATTCGGTATGCGTCAGGTCCCACGATTTTCATGCGGGCTGAGTCAGCTATGCTGCTGGGTGCCTAGGTAGCTCGCCTATAAATTGGCACGTATTCTGGCTACTCTCAAACAGCAAGCAGCAGTAAGTTTATTGGCTACTACAGCTTAGAAGTACTAACCTCGTTGCCAAGCTCTCAAACTAGTGCGCACCATGGCGTGGCAATTGCAGCAAACAATGGCCACGATGACTATATGCTTTCGGACGTCCTCGCCGGTAACGGTGCGCTGTGCTGCGGCGGCTCGGCGGTCTGCCAACTACGCTCCCAGCTCCTGGGATTACGACTCCCTCCTCCACCTCTCGCCCAACAATGGCGGACAGGCAGATCAAGTACATTTATCAGCTGAACATATCGTATTTCCAACCGGCAAGTAGTACATAAAGTAGATGAATTACTCATGGAGATTATTCCGTGCATGCATGGATGATGTCACAGGTCGATAAGTTGAAGGCCGGCGTGAGGGAGCGGCTGGTAGCGGCGACCGAGGCGACCATCAAGCTGCGAAGCTCGGGCTTGTCGACACGGTGCAACGGCTCGGCATCGCCTACCATTTCGAGGAGGAGATCGCCGGTATCCTTAGCTCCGTCCACCGCGAGCCTCATCGGTGCAGTTTGGACGGCGATGCCAGTGATGTTGCTTCTGCGTCCTTGAGGTTTAGGTTGCTTAGGGACGGCGGTTTCCCAGTCTTCTTCCCTCCAGGTACAGTACCTAGTTAAATACTCCCTCCGTAAAGAAATATAAGAGCGATCATTAAAGTAGTGATCTAAACGGTCTTATATTTTTTTATAGAGGGAGTAGTATGAAATATGAAAAACAAACATTTGGAGGGTGTAAGAAAAACCAAAAACTACAGCCAAAATTTTGAAAATTAGACATGTCTGCACCAAATGCATGGTCCAGATTCAATCACAGTTGAAACTTTGACCTGTGTGCATGGCAGGGTTTTGTATACTCAACTGACATTGTTTCATCATAACAATATATATAGAATGTCTGGCGGATCTCAAGCGTGGATCAGATGATGTCAAAGGGCTCCTCTCACTCTATGAGGCTTCATACCTTGCGTTCGGTGGTGAGGAAATATTGGACGAGGCAAGAGCATTTTCCAAGAAATCTCTCAAAAAGCTTTTGCCATCCATGGATCACCACTTACGGCGCAGTGTAGTTCATTCTTTGGACCTTCCATTACACCGGAGGTCTCCTAGACTAGAAGCAAGATGGTTCATAGACCACTATGCTAGAGACGAGAGCAATTCCGACCCGTTGCTCGTTAGATTTGCAATGACGGACTTCAACAATGTGCAAAGTCTGCATCAGGAAGAACTTGGGAGACTGGCGAGGTAATTGAGCGTGAAGAATCGTACATTTAAATAAGCCAGCTAATTAATGCACATAGTTGATGGGTTTTTAAGATATGAAAGTTGACCTAATTAATTGTAGGTGGTGGAAGGGGACCGGCCTTGGTGAAAAATTAGGGTTCGCCAGGGATCGTCTCATGGAGTGCTTCCATTGCGCAAATGGAATTGTGTGGGGGCCAAATGATGGAGCATGTCGGGAAGTGCTTGCTAAAGTCGCCAATCTTATAGTTCACTTAGATGGTGTATATGATGTGTATGGAACTCTAGATGAACTTGTTCTCTTCACAGACGCCATTGGAAGGTAACTATATGCAGCGGTGCACTTTTAATAATTCAAGTAATATTCTTTTCCTAGAGTTGCATGTGTAATATATATACTCCCTCCGTCCCTGAATAAGTGTACATCTACCTTTTGTTCTAAGTAAAAGTTTTAAAATTTTGACCAACTTTATAGAAAATAGTAGTGACATATATAACATCAAATTGATATGTTATCAACGTACATTTCAAAACGAATCTAGTGATACTAATTTGATGCCATAAATGCTTTTACTTTTTTCTAGAAAGGTGGTCAAAGTTTTAAAACTTTGACTTAAGACAAAAGCCGGTATCCTCAGCTCCGTCCACCGCAAGCCTCACCTGTGCAGCGGGGATGATTGTGATGTTGCTTCCACGGCATTGAGGTTCAGGTTGCTCAGGGACAGTGGTTTCCCAGTCTACTTCCCTCCAGGTACCTCCTTAAATATGAAATATGAAAAGCAGACTCTTAGACGATGTAAGGAAGGAACCTAAAACTATGGCCAAAATTTTGGATATTAAACTAAATGCATGGTCCACTCCAATCCAGATTCAATCACAGTTGAGACTTTGAATTGTGTGTATAGCACGGTTTTGCATACTTAACTGACACGTTTCATTGTAACAATACATAAAGAATCTCTGGAAGATCTCAAGCGCGGATCAGATGATGTCAAGGGGCTCCTCTCACTCTATGAGGCTTCATACCTTGCGTTTGAAGGCGAGGAAGCATTGGACGAAGCGAGAGCATTTTGTAAGGAAGCTCTCCGAAAGCACTTGCCATCCCTAGATCACCACTTACGCCGCAGTGTGGTCCGTGCTTTGGACCTTCCATTGCACCGGAGGTCTCCTAGACTAGAAGCAAGATGGTTCATAGATCACTATGCTAGAGATGAGAGCAATTCCGACCCATTGTTCGTTAGATTTGCCACGACGGACTTCAACAATGTGCAAAGTGTGCATCAGGAAGAACTTGCGAGTCTGGCAAGGTAATTGAGCATGAAGAAACATACATTTAAATTATCCTGCTAATTAATTCACATAGTTGATGGGTTTTAAGATATGAAAATTGACCTAATTAACTCTAGGTGGTGGAAGGGGACTGCCCTTAGTGAAAAATTGGGGTTCGCCAGGGATCGTCTCATGGAGTGCTTCCATTACGCAAATGGAATTGTGTGGGAGCCAAACAATGGAGCGTGCCGAGAAGTGCTTGCTAAAGTCGCCAATCTAATAGTTCACTTAGATGATGTTTATGATGTGTATGGAACTCTAGATGAACTTGTTCTCTTCACCGACGCCATTGGAAGGTAACTACATGCAACGGTGCACTTCTCATAATTCAAGTAATATTCTTGTCCTAGAGTAGCATGTAACATATATAGGGCAAGTTAGTTTCACATTTAGTGAAGCTTTTCCATTATCTAAAATTAATACAAATAAATTCAGGTGGGAAGAAAGTCCTGGTGAAAGACTCCCCGAATACATGCAAGCAGTCTATTCCGTGATGTACAACACATCCGCTGAGGTGGCTGAAAATGTGTTGGAACAACATGGTTGCGACGCCCGTCATGTTCTTCAGAAAGCGGTAAGTTCATATACACAATTTACTTACTCATATGATATAAATTGTTTTCACAAGGAACCGTAATAAATTCCACTCCATGCTTTTGCAGTGGCGAGACATGGCGGATTCTTTCCTGGTGGAGGCAAAGTGGCACCATGGAAACCACAGACCAACACTGCATGAGTATCTGGACAATGGATCAATTTCAGTCCTCTGCTCCACTGTTGCTGCAACATGCGTTTCCCCTGCTACGTGTGGATGAAAAGATCACCCCAATGTCTCTTGCTAAAGTTGGAAGCTACCCTAAATTAGTTCAGTCAGCATCGTTAGTTCTTCGCCTCTGCAATGACTCTGCAACCCACTCTGTAAGGAAAATTTATCCGGGTTGTTTTGCCCTTTACCGTTTCAATCTCCAAAGTTGAATCTTTGTGAGAGGTGTCTTATGTTGTGAAAATATGTATAACAGGCCGAACTGGAGCGAGGGGATGCACCATCATCAATAGCTATTCACATGTCGGAGAACAGCTCCAGTGAGCAAGAGTCCCGTGAAGCCATGGAAGACCTTACTATGGAAGCCTGGAAGTCGATTAGCGAAGATGCATTCAAACACTGCCAATTTTCTAGATCTTTTGCCAAGACTTGCGTGAATTTGGCTCGAATCTCACATCATGTTTACCAAGGCGGGGATGGTTTTGGTGCGCCGGATGGTCGGAAGAAAAAGCAAATTAGGGAGTTGTTCTTGGACTCTTTCATGATTGAGGAACATTAAATGGTGGGAGACACATATCTTAGAAAGATGTTATATAGGCTTAATATCTGTAGGTATTGATTGTAGGTATTGATTGTAGGTATTGATTCTGATTCTGTGTGGTACTACTAAAACTCTATTACCAACACTAGCTGGTTGAATTTTTTTTTGAGGTGAAACTAGCTGGTTGATTAACTAGCACCATTGGGTGATCTTGATTTACAATGCTTAGGGTTGTTCGGCAGCTCCCCGACTCCTGGAAATCCTGAAATCCAGCTTCTCTTTTCATATGCCAGCTTCCCAAGTGAAAGCTAGCGATCAGAAAACCATTCGGTATGCCAGCTCCAGTTTTCCTCTGGCAATGCATGGGATGACAGCCTTTTTCAGGAGCTCCTAGTCAGCGCCTTCAACACCAACTAGGAGTTCTGGCGCCCACGCTGCCGCGCTAAGACTCGAACCGGCGATCTCTTGTCTTGTGTTACAGCGCTCTAACCACGAGGCCACTAAGGCACGCCTTGTAGGTTTGATCATTTTCTATGTTTTCTAGTTTCTTCTTTCCTTTTTCGTTTTTCCATTTTCCATTTTTCCTTTTCTGTTTTTTCTTTTTTATTCTGCACTATATGATGTTTTTTTATCCCATGAACTCTTTTAAAATCTATGAACTTTTTTATTTTTGATGAAATTTGACAAAGTTCACATATTTGAAAAAAGTTCACAAAATTGAAAAAGAAATTCATTGGATCTGAAAAAAGTTCATGGGATTTGAAAAAAAGTTATTCACATTTGAAAAAAGTTCATCGATTTTGAAAAAAAAGTCCATCAAACTTGAAAAAAGTTCATCAAATTTGATAAAAAGTTCATCGAATTTGAAAAAAAGTTCATCAAATTAGAAAAAGTTCATCGAATTTGAAAAGAGTTCATCAAATTAGGAAATACTTCGTCCAATTTGAAAAAAGTTAAATTTGGAAAAAGTTCATTGATTTTTTTATCAAAACACAAGAAAGCAAAATCATTGATTTAAAAAACGAACAAAAAGAAAAGAAAAATAGAAAACCGCCCCGGAATGACCACGAACCGGGAAAAAACCCCGGCTTAGGAAGCTTCTGGAAGCTTTCCAAAACCAGAGGATTCCCGCGAATGAGGAGAACAAGTAGCGTACAAACAATCTGAAAGTCACTTGTGGTTCGATGGCGTGGTGGTTACGTGCTTGGAGATGAATTAACCGATCGTGTGTTCGTCTCCGGCTGCACATCTTTTTTTTGAACGTTTTTACAAAAATAAGCAGATATATATGGGCCAGCCCAGCTCACCAGCGGAGGGGTCGCGCTACAGGCGCCCGTTTGCGAACGGGCGCTTAAGCGCTAAATAGGATTCACCGCCTTTTTCAGTTGATTTCGGCCTATTGGTAGTTGAGGATAGGCCGAACTTGGCCCAAGTTGGAAGCTAAGGGCATGTACACAGGCTGGGAGAGATGGACAGATCCACTGGGACAAAGCGTTTTCTTTTCTTTTCTGTGTGTTTTTCGCTAACGGAGAACTATTTAAAGGGTAGTTTGCAATACTTTCTGTGTAGTTTGAATGAAAATAGAAATATGGCAACTCATATCTTAAGGAACAACACAGTCTACACGCATGCCATATAACAAAAAGCATAATACTTTATGTGTACAAATTATAAACTTTTGTCATTTAAAATCCTTGGATGTACAGTCCTAAAATTTGGGTCCTTAGGCTTGATGTAGCCAGAAGACATCGTGACCACACAAATTTAGTAGTACCTCATGGAATTTGCGGTGGATTTCTTTT